GGGGGGGGGGGGGCTTGACTGTGACCCAGCGTGAACCGCACAGCCTGGGACAGGAGGAAGACTGACACCCAGCAGGGCGCTGCCTGCGGGTGCCCTCCCTTTGCCCCAAGTGGCCAGGACTAGCCGCCAGTGAGCCCAGGAGGAGGAGTCAGCAAACTGCAGGGGTCGGAGAGGGCGCTGCAGGCTGCGGGGTCAGGCCGCCTGGTCCTCCCATCTGTGCTACTTAGACTCCAACAGGTCTAGCAGGGTCGCCATGGCAACGCGCCGTCTGCTCTGCTGCGTGGAGACAGGATTCCCTTAGTAACCAAAGAGCCTGGGAGATGATGCTTAAAATAATCTTTATGCCCAGGCAGGAAGGCCTTTGCAGTTTTATTAACCATGAAGCATCATGGGCATGGCTTTCACTCTCACTTATTTCAAAATGGAACAAAACGTTTTTGTTTTGTTCGTTTGTTTTTTAGAGAGAGATTTTTGCTATAGGGTATGTGCACTCACCAGAGAGACAGAAAGTGAGAAATCACCCCGAGGGGGGATGGCCATGCTGCAATCCCTTCTCCTCCATTCTCCTCTTGGGATTTGGGGCACGCACGCACATGTGCCTAGTGTGAGTTTTGAGCCGCCGGGTCTGGGACTCAAACTACGTGGGAAGCCAGCGATGTAACCACTACAACATCTGCTCGTCCCCAGAATGTTTTTTTCAAGCAGGAATTTCCAGCCAAGGGTCAATTGCTGTCCTTGTGCCAAAAGACACACACCCCACTGAAGCCAGTAAACATCTCGGCCCAGTTTCCGAGAGGAGCTGCTGGTCACCGCTGCGTAAACTACGCTCAGATAGAGCAGGCAGCCACTGCCCTAGGTCGCTGGGGCCTTCCACCTTTCTGTTTCCTCTTAGAGTTACCAGTGGGGCAAATCGTTATGCTTGGAAAGAGTCCAGCTTCTGGCCACTTAGCCTGGCCATCCCTTGCACCTCAGATTCTTTCCGGCTCACACCGCGTCTCCAATTGTGCCGTGTGTGCGACCTGCCTCAGGCCTCCCCGCCCGAGGGCTCCCTCATCACCAATAGTTCTGGCTGCTAATTCCTCTCCTCTCAGAGGCCGACCATGGAAGGGCTGAGTCTGCAAACTTTGGCTTCACAGGAAGTCCACAATGTTTTAACAGCAATTCCCCACTAGATCGGTGGTTCTCCGGCAGGGAAGCTGCTGGCACATTCTGTAGTAGTGACAGAGCTTATGGAAATGCTCGTAATAAGTGTATACTTCGAGCCGTTTATACGGTGTCTGGTGTCATGCTCATTGTTTGCAAATATTACTTCATCTAACCTCACAGCCATTTACCAAGGAAGTAGTGTGGAGGGAGACGTTAGATAAATTGTCCAAGAACACATATTTAGTAACACAATATACCTAGTGAAACGTAGGTCTCCTAATTCTTTTTATTTTTTTTTTGTGGGGGGGGAGTTTACTATAGGGCACGTGTGCTTTCCAGAAAGACAGAGAGAAACAAAAAAGCGAGAAATCACCCCATGGCACAATCCCTTCTCCTCCATTCTCCTCTTGGGATCTTGGGCACACACGCACACACACCTGGCGTGAGTTTAAGCTTCTGGGAGCTGGACTTGAACCACAGTCGACTACATGGGAGTCCAGCTACATAGCCATTACACCAACTGTCGGTCCAGCCCTAATTCTTCTCCCTGCCTTTTCTACTCCTCATGATGCTTAGACTTTTAAGTTTGCTGCTTTGCAAGACTAAAAGTTGGTGTTATTTACAAAATGTACCAGCTTAAGTTATGACCAGCAAGAAAGAAAAACAGTCTTTAAAGTGAAATATGAGCTGGATACATGTCTAAATGTAAAATATCATTATTAGTAGATGAGTCCTCCTGCCAAAGGGAGCTCGGATGAGTGTCTGCGTCCTCAGCCCTCACCCCACGGTGAGCGCATTCACTCTCAGGCAATTAACAAGAGAAATCAGAGAGATTCCAAGCTCAGGGTGACTTGACCCAGCTGGAGGGGCTGCATGGGAAGCGTGAGAAGGAATGTGGGGAGAGTCTTGGAGCAGACTGGACCCTCCAGCTGACCACCAGCATGAAAACGGGGACTGAGTTCTGCAAGGGCGATGCACCTGAGGCCGGAGGCAGACCCGGGCAGAGCACCAGTGAGGCGAGCAGGTCTGCCGACCCGTGATCGCAGCCTCGCGAGACTTCAGCAGGGGCCAGCCGAGTGTTCCTGGGCTTCCAGCAGAGACTGGGATTGTACACGCGTGTGGTTTCAACCATGAAGTCTTTAGGGATGTGTTACGCAGAGACAGGAAAGGAGCATACCTTTGTCAAACAGCCTACAGCAGGTGGCTTCACAGCTTGGCCCCGAAGGTCCTTGAGACCCTTCCAGGGAGTCTGTGAGGTAAAGGCTGTCTTCATAATAACACCAAGATGTTATTCTTCTTCTCGCTGTGTGTCCCCACGATGCAAAAGCCACAGAGGGTAAATGTCCTGGAGAAAGTGCAACCAGCCCGTGGAGGTGTGGTTAGGGCAGCGGGTCCCACGTGGCTGACTGCGCTGTTGCAGCTCCAGACTGGTGGCTCGAGAAACGCGCCATATGTGTGCATGTGCATGTGTGTATATGTGCATGTGTGCATGTGCATGTGTGTATATGTGCACGCACATGCACATGCTCAGAATCCCGAGGGGAGGGAGAGGTGGAGGAGAGGGCTGCAGCACGACCGTCCGCCATGAGAGGGTTTCTCACTGTCTTTCTTCCTCTCCCCCACCGCAGGCACATATGCCTTATAGCAAACCTACACAAGAAAATCCAGTGCTACCACACGGCGTTCAGTGTTCCTCACTGTCACACACTGGAGCAGAGACATGCAGTCTCCCTCAGAATGTTCATGGCGCAGAGAGTGACTGGTTTTATTAAATCTCAGCCTCGAGTCCCTACAGGAGGCGACAGACTGTGAAGTCCTCAAAGTGCTTTTGCTGCATTTTAACCTAAGTTGGTGGTTTCAAGACGAGCACCCGGGTTTTGAGCTGGGCTGGCTTCTTATTCCCTCCACAGATCACTATTTTCACTTGAAAAAGTGCTGGCAGATAAATGTGTTATTCGAACTTGGGCATTTGGGGGTACTTTCTCGAACATGAATGAAGTGAGCCTGTCAAGTGAAGAAAAACAACTGACAGTATCTGTTGTCAATGGTAACACTGGGACTTTCTAACAAAGATTGGGATTTTGGAAAACCTGAATCTACCGTCACACCTGACAGATTCTCAATACTTTAAGGCTGTCTGATGAGACTGCCAGTGATACTACTTGTCAACAGGACATGTGATTTTTAAATTCTGATATTGTAAAATGAACTATGTAAGAATTTAGAACAACTGAATAACCTTGTGGATCAATATTTTCCAAAGGACAGAGCACGATGTGACAAAGTCTGGCAGACAATTGTATATCACTTTTTTTTCTTTTTTAACCATGCTTAAAATTAACAAGTGATTGGGACCAGCAGTTAGCATAATGGCTATGTTGCTGGACTCCCACGTAGTCGACTGCAGTTCACGTTCCGGACCCGGTGGCTTAAACTCACGCTGGGCACGTGTGCGTGTGTGCCCAAGATCCCAAGAGGAGAATGGAGGAGAAGGGATTGCGGTGTAGCCATCCCCCCAGGGGGTGATTTCTCGCTTTCTGTCTCTTTCTGGTGAGCGCGTGTGCCCTATTAGCAAAAACCTCTAAAAAAAAAAAAAGTGATTATTTTGTTTGTTTTGTTTTTATAGGTTTTTGCCATAGGGTGTGTGCACTTGCTAGAGAGAGACAGAGACGGGGAAAGTGAGAAATCACTCCACAGGGAGAATGGCCATGCAACAATCCCTACTCCTCCATTCTCCTCTTGGGATTTGAGCACGCACACACACACACACACACACACACACACACCGTGCATGAATTTCACGCTGCTGGGTCCAGGATTCGAACTGCAGAATCAGTCATGTAGGATCCAGAGCCCCAACCACAACACCACTTACTGACCCAATAAGCAGTAGTTTTTTAAAAGTTCAATGCAAAATATGAAATCCTATCAACAACCAAGAACTACTACAAATGCCAGGAAGGTTTATCTACAAAGGCTAAAATAGCCTCTCCTTTTCCAGCCACATATCCACATGGGGCCAGATTTTCAGCATTTTACTTCACAGCCATGAGCACTTAGTCTACCTATTAAATATGCAGTACGTGAGAGATCCCTCACGGGGCACACCAACAAGTCCATCCATTCGTTCATTTTTTTCTTAAAGTATTATTTGTTAAATTAAATGAACGAATTATTATTATTTTCTAATTTGTTATAGGGCATGTGTGCTCACCAGAGAGAGACAGAGAACGAGATGGGTGGGTGGGGAGTGAGAAAATAAGCTGCCTGGTCTGGGACTCAAACTGTGGTCGACCTCGTAGGAGTCCAGAGCCTTAACCACCATGCTACCTCTGGTCTCCTCATTCATTATTTTTTTAGTCACCTTTGTAGTCAGTAATATCTATTGACTGCTTACTATGAATTGGGCACATAGACAGAATTTCATGTTCTGTTTTTGCGTAAGAAACAGCTTCCAGATATTTCTGTATTATAGTACATAAATATTTTAATTCCTTGTTTGTTAGAAGCAATAATTCATATGCTTTCTTGGGACTGTGAAAGAGCTAGTTCTGATCTGAAGCCCCATCACCTACATGAAATAAATCACTTAGGAAATGGCTTTGAAAAGAGAAACGAGATCACAACTCTTAGAGAAAATTCAGTAAGTACCCAATTTATTCATAAAACAATACAATTTAGATATTTATGATTTTTTAGTCATACATTTTTGCCATCATTCCCAAAACATTGTGCATTTTGTTGACGTGTATTTGCAAGATTAGGACCTACGGTTAAAACTCTGGAGATCAGACAAAGCGTTCGATTTGGTTGTTAATTATGCCACACCCAAACGAACAGCAAAGACTCACTTTTCCCTGTGATTTACCTCCCTGTCACTGACAAAAATAAGTCCCACATCAGGCCTTTTCTGGTTGCAAACGCTTGTCCATTTCTTTGCTAGAAGATTGTGCAGGTGAAACGCCCATTCTTCTGGGTCAAGACTGGGCACTTTACACTGAAACAAGACCCGTCGACACAAAGCGATGATGCCAGGCAGCTCCACTTAGAGAGCTTCTCTTGGGAGACAGAGAGGCAAGCAGCAGCCTCCGGTAAGCCCAGAGGCCAGCTTGTGAACCAGGTGCCAGTCCCCGCACCGCGTGCTATTTGCATGGACCAGTTTCGTTCCACTGTGTGGTTCCAACGACAGCTTTTTGAGGTTATTCTTACGGGTTGACATAAAATCGAACCGACCATGCAGTGCTCCTACGATGCGTCATTAGACGGGCGGGGGCTAGCCAGCAGGAGCGGTCTCTAGCTTCGTTTAGGAAGAGGTGTGACTATAAAGCAGTGAGACTAACGGGGTGTGCAGCCTCTGGAATCAGCCTCATTCCTTGCTCCTCTCACCTCGGAGGCAGGCAGGGCAGAGGGGCCATTCCCACGCACACGAGGAGCTGCCCTGTTTTGGATGGTCTCTGGTATGACAGCCTGCGGTCTAGACCCTCGCAACTCTTAGCACAGACTAAGGGCTCTGTAAGCATCACCGGGGGCCCTGTTAGAGACGCAGAATCCTGGGCCCCACCCAGATCTATTACAAAATCTGACTTTTAACAAGACTCTCGGGCGATTTATGTGCACAGTAAGATCTGACAGGTGCTGGGCTAGACGTCCCAGATCCACTTCAAAAGACGAACAGTGTATAAATCTCTTCTTAGTCGAGAGACCATTCTCAGCAGGGAGGACTCATAGATAAGAACTGTGAAAAAACAGTGGGTGTGTATTTTTAAATTTTAAACATGCAAAATACAGTCCATGCATCTGCCATTCTTGAAAAGTCTGTCATCTTGTAGCAGATAAAACCAAGTATGTTTTGGCTATCAACATTCAATAAATGTTTCAAAATGCTTTATAGTGTAAAGATAAGAAATTTAGCAAAATTTCAACAAACCTGTATAAAAAACGGATACAGATACCATTTATTTGAAGGCGGCATGCTGTAATGTAAAGAGTAGGTTATAATTATTTGTGTTTCTTTGTAAAAAGTCTTTGACAATACAAGGGCTTCACAGATCCAGGCCTTGCCTTGGGGCTACACATGCAAAGGGAAAAAATGGTTAGTTAAAAATCACCAAAACGTGCTGTTTTAAATGTGTGTGTGTCAATGTTAAAGTACAGGGACAGGAGAAGTAGTAAATATTAGTAAGAGTAGTATTTCAGAACTCTGTAAAAGTGTTCACGGGGCTAGTGTCCTAGAAGACTCATACATCTCTGAGGAACACTTTGGTTTAATTCCTTTGCCATTGTAATAGTCCACGACTTGGTTCGGAACTTCAGCCAACACGCTCTTTGCCAGGGCAGCTGGGGATGCCTGTGGGGAGAAGAAATCACCATGACTTTGGCTCATGGTCAAAGGAATCTGATTCAGACCCGGTCTTAAAAGTTCGAGTCCTCCTCCCGGCAGCCAACCTCACATTCTTTATCTGCTGGTCTACTCCAAGCAAGAGTCATTTTATCTATTTTTTTCATGCCTGTTTCAAAATATAAAACTACTCACGTCCGAAGATGGGTGGAAGCTGAATGGCACGATGAATTGTATGCCGAGTGTCCCCGACTCACACTCGACTCCAGGCCTGCACTTACCTTGCCGCATTCCACGAGGGCCATGGGTCGATGGCTCTGGCCACTGTGAAGGCTGTAATCGTGTCGGGGAGGCGGGCATGGCCAGTACTCCCTCTGGTACGAGGTAAAACACGGTACATGCTACAGACCACCATCACCACGTCACATGGGAGCTTTTTAGTGACGTGGCCCCTTAGACTGGACCCCGGGATGCCGAGTCAAACTCTGCGTTTTACCACGACGCCCCATGATTTCTATGCATAGTGACGTCTGCACGGCGCTGCTCCAGAGAGCCGCCAGCACTGTCACCAGAGCACAGGGAACAGAGACCTGGAGATCTCAGAAGAGACGGTGTCGCGCTTCTGAGAAGGGGCACCATTTACACTGGTCATATTTTACAATGGAAAGAGGGTTTGGCAGAATGGCCTTTGATCATTGTGGGGATAGTGAGTCATCTGATGGGGCTGAAAAAGTGTATGTGTGTGTGGGTGTGTGTGGTGGTGTGTGTGTATGTGTGTGCGTGGTGTGTGTGGATGTGTGTGTGGATGTATGTGTGTGTGTATGTGTGTGTGGTGTGTGTGCGTGGTGTGTGTGCTGTAGTGTGTGTGTGTGGTATGTGTGGTGTGTATGTGGTGTGTGTGTGGGGGGTGGTGTGTGTGCTGTGTGCTGTGTGTTATAGTGTGTGTATGTGTGTGTGGTGCGTGTGGGTGTATGTATGTATGCGCGGTGTATGTATGTTTGTGATGTGTGTATGTATGTGTGTGGTGTGTGTATGTATGTGGTGTATGTATGTTTGTGATGTGTGTATGTATGTGTGTGGTTGTGTGTGTAGTGTGTGTGGGTGTATGTGTGTGTAGTGTGTGTGTATGTGTGTGTGGTGTGTGTGTAGTGTGCGTGTGTGGGTGTGTGTGTAGTGTGTGTGGGTGTATGTGTGTGTGTAGTGTGTGTGTGGGTGTATGTGTGTGTGTGTATGTGTGTGTGTATATGTGTGTGGTGTGTGTGTAGTGTGTGTGTGGGTGTATGTGTGTGTGTGTATGTGTGTGTGTATATGTGTGTGGTGTGTGTGTGTTTGTTTGTGTGTGTGTGTGTGTAGCAGATGCAGGTTGGTGTGGCATCTGGTTGGAAACAGGCTTGAAGCCAGGTGATGGAGGGTCTTGAGCGTCTCCCTATGGGGGCTGTTATCCGTCAGCATCTTGGACCCACCGTAAGATTCAGGAGCACAGGCACAGGGCCGCGTGATCCGCAGTGATGACTCCCCAGTGGAGACCCTGCAGTCATGCGGAGCCGGACTTGATGTCTGGCTCTGACACCTGTCACTAACTGCACCCCCTGAGCAAGTGACTTCAGCCGCCCAGCCTCATCATCCGCTGTTAAAGAAGCCGAGACCTCGAGCAGTTACGAGTGTCTCAGACCCCGACGGGAGGATGCTGGGCGAAACGCCAAGGGGTCTGGTCTCTAGCTCGCCCTTCCCGTGGGGCGTGCCGCTCAGCCATTCGACTTTGGCTAGCCCAGTGTCCTCAGAGGCAAGCTAGAGGAGAATAAGCATTCATCCACTTGACAGACTCTCAGAGAAAGACACACGTGTCTTTAACACGCTTTGAAAACACTGTGAAGAGGCTGCTGAAGTGGCCTCTCACATTTGGACGATGTCAGCACACTGGACACCTGGCATTCTCAGGTGCGGGTTCTTTTAGAAATATCTGCTCGGAGCTGTGTTGGACCGCGGACCACGGGCACACCAGGGCAGATGAAATGCCTGGCCACCTTTCGAAGGTTAGAAAGCAAAGCCTCGATTTCCGAGAGATGGCTGTTGGGCCCATTTTGTCCTTGATATATAAACGGAAGCTTACTGCTAGTAGTTTCCCGGAAGCTTTGGTCTCCTGGTTGAGAGAGCCAGGCAGGGACCAAGGGTCCCTTCCCCTTTCCCCTTCCTTTCTATCTTGAACTAGAATGCGATAACTGGAGTTGCAACAGTTATTTTATTACGAGGTGACAGTGAAGAGAAGCATAAAATGCCGCTCTGACACTACTGAATCACAGGGAAAGAAATGCTCGCAGCCACGAGCCCTGACTTCCAAACCCACGGGGAGGGTGTGCCACATGTGTGCAACCCAGGCCTCCTCAGTCTCAGCACTGCTGGCATGTGCTGGCTCCCTCAGGGTGAGGGAGTGTCCTGTGCACTATGGGATGTTCACCATCATCCCTGCCCCGTGCCCACTGTGGGCAGGACCCCACATTTGTCACTGTCAAAAATGTCTCCAGATATGGGGCCAGTGACGATCCAGAGGAACTCACCTGGGCCATGGGAAGGCCTCTGGGTCCCTCCCCGGCCGCTCTGCACATGCTGGGGCACGAGTGTGCCTGTCTGGGCTGGAGCCGGCTAAGGCTAGGGTGGGTCACGGCTCGAGGATCTCGTTAGGGGTCTCTCTCTCTCACTCTCTCCCTCATGGAAGAAATAAATTATAACAAGTAAACCTAAAAGCTTTGTTTCCATGATTGACTTTGTGGCCTGGTGGTTAAGGCAGCCAGATCCCACATGGCTGACTGCAAAGTTTGAATCCCAGCCTCAGCAGCTTGGAAGACATACCAGGTACATAGGCTGCATGTCTTGAATCCCAACAGGGTGGAGAAACAGAGAGAAGAGATTGCGGCATGGCTGTGCCCCGGGCTGCCTTTCCCTCTCCTACTCTCTCTCTGTGGAGCATATATGCCCTCTGGCAAATTTTCAAAAAGTGCCTCCACGGTAGTAATGTCACTCTTGGTTAAAGAGCTGCTCATGTAATCCACTGTAAAGAAGACTTGCTGTTACTCACGAGAAGAGTCTGTCCCCACTGTCCAGTAGGGGAGTCGCTAGTCACATGCAACCATCGAGCCCAACATGCGGTCAGTGTGACCCAGCGAGAAGCTGGATTTCAATTTTTATTTAACTTTAATAAATTCAAATAGCCACATTGGCTCATGGCTCGTACTGGACGACGCAGTTCCTAAGTGGGTCTCTCACCAGCTTCTGCATCTTCGCTGGTGGGCATTAGTTGGTTGGAAAATTAACACTAAGCAGCTAGTAGTCGCAGCAGTAAGAACTGGTCACTGTGTGCATCCTGTCAATCCTTGTCTCAAGGTCACCTTTGATGTCCAACCCAGGCATCATCTGCGTCACTTCAGAGGTGAAGTCTGTGGCGCAGAGAGGTTAAGGCACCTTCAGAGCACACGGCTTGCAGCCTGTTCAAAGCTCGAGGTTCTCATGCCGGGGCGACAAGAGAGACAACTCATGGCGTGTAGGAAACACCAGCTCCTTACTTTCCCTTTTATTTATGGCGTATCGAAACCAGAGTAGGTCAGTTTGGCTAATGAAATGGTTTTCAGATCTAATTTGAAATCCATGAAGATAAGGTCGGTGGGTCTCCTGGTATCCTGCCTCAGCCATGCACAGGATAGCCGCGGACTCTGCAGTGCAGATCTCGGGCGAACCTACTTCCTCACCCTGCTCCACCCTCCCCTTGAGGGCTGACGGTTCCTCAGTTCTCGGCTCAGCAAGGCTCTGCCCTTCCTCAACTGCCCAGCCTAAGCAGGACGGCTTTCCTCGTGGCTAATTCTCTCTGCTCCGAATTTTTGTAGCAACATTTCAGTTCTTTCCAACACCTGCAACTTGCTTAGGGTGTGGTTTTCTGCAAGGATGGTGCCTCAGTCATTCAGTTCTTGGGTAAATTCCTGGAGGCCTAGACCCCCGACTTATCACCTCATGGTGGCCCCTCACCTAGCAGAGCCTTGTCCGGAGTATTGGGAGGGGAGGAGGAGACTGGGGTATAGGTTAGAGCGCTTCATGGCTCAGTGGTCTGGCTTTAGCACACAAGTGTGGGCGTGTGCTCCTGGGTGTGCAGGGGAGGCAGGGAGACTGAGGTTTGGGAGTTCTAGGCGTGGTAGGGAGTAAGTGCTTCGATCCATTTTCACTCAGGTGAAGCCATGGCTGGTGATCAGAGAGGTGGCCATCCCTTTTCACTGGCTGACAAAATGGGACAGGGCGTCAGAACCTGGGAGAACATCCTTTCCTCCACCTTGGACACTTGGGGACTAATCGGCTTCGATGAGAAACGTAACTGGCAAACCCAGCCTTCTCTAGCGCATCCTTCCTTACAGAGAAAACGCCTGCCTGCTGTCCCTGCGTGGACAACTTGAGGGCTTGGTGAGCCTCTTTCATTTGGAAGCCTTGTCCCTGGGCACACTGACAGGACAGAGGGACACCGTTAATCCTCACCACAGGCAGTGTCCCAAGGGCTTGTGGGAGGGACCGGGTGCTGCTCTTGTTACTTAACTCTTTCTGTACTCAACTCTGTAGGCAGCCGTGGATTTTCTGTTCCTTTAACAATTTTAATGGCATTGCAGCCCTCTCTAAAAGGGAAATCATAATCGTGTGGCAGTACACTTTGAATAATACCTCATCATTCCAGGAGCCCTGGAGTGTGCAGTTACGGCCCCATGAGGTCCCAGCAGGTCAGAAAATCTAAGACTCAGCTGAAGCTGCTGGTCTGGTGATTTATTTGAATGCTCCCTTGCAAATCTATCCCCAAAGGCACAGAACAAACAGAAATCTGAAGGGCGTGTGCTAAAGGCTCTGACCCTGGCCTGGGACTGGGCCTACAGTCAGGCGTGGGGTGGCAGGTGGGTAGTCATTACAACGAGCAATGGCTGGGCAGCAGCGGCACTGGGCTCCCGTGTGAGCCGAATCCGGGTCCAGGTATGCCTGGACACGCTCTGATAAACTGGCTGAGAGGGCTTCACTTAGCGGGAGCTTCCGACAAAGACTTTTCCAAGTAAGCGTCAGGAGGGAAGGCTCAGAGTGGATGCATGGTGCCCGTCCCTCTCTGAGGCTAACGCGTTGACTTGAGGCCCGTGGGGGAGAGTCTGCAGGGGAAGGTAATGAAGCTGTGTCCCTCAGTGATGGGGGACATGGGAACACAGACCTCACCGCACAAGTGGTTCCGGAAACAAGACTGCTCTAGCATAAAAACGGAGGAATTCTCTTGGTTAAACATTTTTTGGGCGGACCAGCAAATGCTGTGATGGTTATGTTGCTGAACTCTCATGTAGTCAACCACCGTTTGCATCCTGGACCTGGAAACTTGAAACTCAGGCCGGATGTGTGTGCATGTGTGCCCAAAATCCTGAGAGGAGAATGGAGGAGAAAGGATTGCAGCGTGGCCATCCCCCCGGGGGAATGATTTCTCACTTTCTGTTTCTCTCTCTGGTGAGTATATGCACCCTATAGCAAAAACCTCTCTCTCTCTAAAAATTTTTTTTGAAATGTTTTGTTATAGGGCATGTGTGCTCTCCAAAGAGAGATAAAGAGAGAGGGAGAAACTTAGAAACCACTCTCCAGAGGGGACTGGCCACACCTCAGGCCCTTCTCCTTCAGTCTTACTGGGATTTTGACCACATAGGTACACATTCCTGACTTAATTTTCAGGCCGCTGGGTCCGAGACTTGAACCTTACAGCCAGCCATGTGGGATCCAGTGCCTTAACCTCCACATCACCTGCTGGCCTCTCTTTTTCCCCAAGACTACAGAGCAGCTTCAGGACACTGAGGACTCTGAACCAGCCTTTGGGAGAGGTGGTTGGTATTGCTGGCTCCACCAGCCGTGCAGAGGCCAAGGCCTCCGGGAAGCACAGCAGGGGCCGGGGCGGCTCTGCAGGGGCGGCTCCCACAAGGGGCACAAGACGAGATCCCGAGGACCGTCTGCAACCACCCAAGCGACCCTGACTCCCAGACACAGTTGAAGGCGGTTCTTCAGGGTCACGCTAGCCCCACGGAGCCTCTGATCAGTTAAAGAAGGTTTTCCTCTGAGTAATGGTAGCTGTGTAGGTACAGGGTTTTGTGGGAATTTTAAAGACGCTCCTTCCAGGAGCCATCAGGTGGCATGGTGGTTAAGGCACTGGAGTCACACATGGCTGACTGCGGTTCAAATCCTTGACCTGGCAGCTTGAACTCACACCAGACACATGTGCGCACATACCCAAAATCCCAGGAGCAGAATAGAGAAGAAGGGATTGCAGTGTGGCCATCCTCCTGGGGGTGAGTTCTCACTTTCCCTCTCACTGTCTCTCTCTGTTTCTCTGGTAAGTGCCCATGACCTATGGCAAAACCCTTAAAAAAAAAAAAAAGGTGCTCCTTCCTCCAGCCACTTAATGACTATCCAAAATTTGGAAATGCAAAAAAATTGCTAACGAGCACTTTTCAGTGCTGTACTAGGGTATTGTCTAGTCAGACCCTTAGGACCGTCCGGGATGCAGCACCTCTTGACTCACTACTTATAACTGATAAGACCCCGAGGCTCTAAAGTTAGATGCTAATTTTTAGGAACCTGGCAGAATACAAATGATTTCTGTCCAGCAGAGAAGGTAATTCAAAGGTCATATATTTTTTACCCAGTTTTTACTTGAAAGTTTTGAATACACTCCAGCAAACCTATTCCAGAATTCCCTCAACTCACTGCATTTGTCTTACAGACTCCCTTGAACTAGCTTTTACTCCTGAATGAGTTAAACAAAGCTTTGATGACACCTGCTATGAACGTACTGAGGGTTGGTGCCTCTCATTTTGCCAATGTGCTTTGTCAAAGCAAACACTTCTGTCAGGGTACGCGGCTTGACAGACAGAGACGACCCAGGGCAGAATTCTGCTTCTCCTTGCTCCCTGGGGCAGACACCCTTGGGCAGGGAATAGGCTGCCGACTGTGTGACAGCCCTGGGGACACTGAATTACATGGCTGAGGGTCAGTATCAATGTGATCTGGTTGCCATAGCGAACACGATTCCTTATCGACGACTCAATCTACACTCCCTCCGATGCGTCAAGCTATGCTGCATCCTTGGTGTGGGACAGGGTCTGACCCAGGAAAGGACGGCCGGGGCTGCCTCGCGCCTGGTGGGTCACTGCACACGACACAGTGGGAGACACACACGTGCTCTGCCCGCCCCGGGAAGCGCGGCCCGGACGCAGATGCGTACGTGTTTGAAGTTCCTGAAGGGCACGAACTGGACGATGTCTCGCAGGACCGGCTCTCCCTTGGGCGACCTCAGAATCCCGTCGTCACCGTCCAGCATCTGCATGTCACTGAAGTCGGCGTTCCCCACGCCCACGATGATGACCGACATGGGGAGGTGGGAGGCGTGGACGATGGCCTCCCGCGTGTCGGCCATGTCTGTGATGACGCCATCGGTCAGGATCAGCAGGATGAAGTATTGCTGCAGTCAGAGGTCGGGGAGAGTAGAGGCCGAGAAGCGGGAGACAAGGACAACACGACACTGTTAGAGCCGCGCGGCCTCGCTGCACCGACCACGCAACGGCCCAGCGGGCGTGCAGAGTGCCTGTGCCGAGTGCCGAGGCCTTAAGGTTGCAACGGGACTTCGCGGCAGGGACGGTTGCAGTGACTACCTTTCTGACAGCTGCAAAGCACAGCGTGACAGAGGAGCGGCAGAGAGACTAGCTCAGCCTCCTCTGTGAGACGCGGGGCAGGCCCTTCACCCCTTGGGTCTCAGCTTCTTCACTTCCCAGTGAGGTGGGACTAGCTCAGTTATGTGGGCCTTTCCAGCTGCGAGACCGTTAGGCTGTGCGGGCCAGAAAAATAGCCACTAGCTCCTTGAGACTCTTGAGCCCTTGTATGGCAGCTGGAGAAACTGAAATTTTAATTTTATTCAATTTTAATAAATTTAAATTTAACTTTAAGACTAGGTACCCAGCTATCTAGCTTTCAACCTTGTAAGTGTGTTTGGAACAACTTAAATATATAAGCGCTTTTACAACTCTCAGTTTGTACATTCTAAATAAAGACCAGGTATGTGTGATGATAATTTGGCTTTCAAATTGAGATGCTGTACATGTAAAATAAACATGAATCTTGAAGACGCCGTATAAAAATGTAAAATATATTAATTTTTGTATAGAGCACACGCTACAATGTCAATATGCTGGCTCTATTTGTTTCTTTTTACTTTTTTTTCTTTTTTACTCTTTTTTTTTTTTTTGGAGAGGTTTTCACTATAGGGCGCGTGCGCTTGCCAGACAGACAGAGAGAGACATAGAGACAGAAAATGAGAAATGACCCCCCAGGGGGGATGGTCACGCCACAATCCCTTCTCCTCCATTCTCCTCTCGGGATCTTGGGCACACACGCACATGCACCTGGCGTGAGTTTTAAGCCACCAGGTCTGGGATGTGAACCGCGGTCGATTATGTGGGAGTCCAGTGACATAGCCATTACGCTAACTGCTGGTTTCCTGTTTCTTTTTACTTTTTAAGGTGGCTACTAGAGAAGTTAAAACACATGACTTGTATTACATTTCTGTTGGACCGCACTAATCTACAGCCCTGCAAGGAGAGGGTCCGGATGGCTGTTTCTTCCTCTGAAGGCCCCGTCCCAAGAAAGTGCTGGCCCTTCCCTGGGCACACCTGCCGGAAGAGCTCTCCTGCGACTTCCTGCTCTAGGTCCCGGCTCCTGGCCTGCAGCCTCCCCGGCTCCTCTCCACCTGGAGGGGCTGACAGGGGCTCACGGCAGACAGGCACCAGAGGAAAAGCTCTGTGTTCAGAGCACGATAAAGGCTTGGGAAATGCGTTGGGGTCTGGAGAAGGAAGACCCACTGGGGGTCATCAGTGTTGCTAGTCATCGTGAGAGGCCCCGTGGCAGCCTTCACTGGGGAGAAGGACAGCAGGCCAGTGAAATGCAGCTCATGCGTGACTCAGAAGCGCTTCCAAAGCAACCCTCACAGGATGCCTGACATTTACAGGGAGCAAAAGTGGGGAGATTAAACTATTCCAAGTTGCCATATTTCAAAGGGGGAAAGGCTACATCGAAGAGCCACATTTTGAAAACATCTGGTTTGAGCATCACACATTTAAAAGGTTGCAGATAGGCTGGAAGTGCGAAAATGTTTTCTCTCTGTCTGAAAAAAAAACGTGCTTAAACAAAAAATGCAAACTGGAGAGTTATGAAACTCGCATGGTGAAGAAGACAGGCTTATGTTCTGACTGTTTTACACACGGTTCAATGTCAAGACCAGTTCTGTTCCATGGCTATTAACTGACCGCCCACCCCAGCCCTAGACGGAGCCTCAGTTTGCACATTTACTCCAGCTGTTATCTTAAGCCACATCTGTGTTTTTGAGTCTTATATGCTCACAGGGAAGCTGGCTTGCGACTTTGGAGGAACAGGAAGTGATGAAGGCACCGGAGAGGTGCAGAGACAGGTGCAGGGGGAAGGGCCAGAGGGGCAACCTTGCTGGTTTAGGGATGGAGGGAATGGGCTCGGAACGCAGGAGAATCATAAATCATCCTGTTCAGGGTGCAGCTCGGAGGACGGGGTGGGTGCCAGACCTGGAAGAAAGGGAACTGCTTCTTTATTCACGAGCAGGTGGGCCCTTGAGTGACTCACAATGGGAGAGACTGAGTGTCTCTTCATTTTCCACTCTCGCCTACCTCTTGTCGGATGCAAAAAATTCTTTGAATTTTTTTCAAGCATTAAAAAAATGTAAAAATCATTTTTAGCTGGCAAGCCATTGAGAAACAGGCAGTGGGACAGAGTCTCTTGATACTTTGAGCAGATGTTTTTAATCTGGGTCTGTGGATTGTTGAAAGGCTTCGGAAGGCTGTGACCTTGAGGTAAACTACATTTTTATTTTCGCTACCCCTAGCTGAAATTTATCATTTAAAAAATTATAACGTAATCAATAAACCAAATTAGCATTAGCTGTATTTGACTCAGTTACCAAAGGAAATCACAGGTTTCTGCTTTTTATATTAGAGACACTGCAGATATTTCAAGTGCCATTTATACTCCATACGGCTTAGAAATGGTGGGGTTATTGGACTGGCTACTGGTCCTTATCATTTAACATGAAAAATAAAAAGCATTTTATTACTATACTTATAATACTTCTGTGTCACATTTAAAAATATTTTGCTGAGTTTCAATATAATTTGATTCCTTTAAAACATTTTATTTTGTGCCTTTAAAAATACTTCTCAGAAAGGGTCTATGGCTTTACTAGTTTGAAGAGATTATTGGGATCACAAAATCTGATCCTCCCAGGCTAATTTAACTAAAGGTAATTGGCTGCTGGACCCGGCGTTTGGTGGGAATCATCTATAAATCTAGCAGTACCCGCTCCTTCCAGAGTCAGGCCAGGAAGATTCTCACGGATGGTGTATTACAGTCTCGAGATTCTGTTTAGATCAAGAGGAGCTTTTTGTTTTTTATTATTATTTTTTTTTTCCCTAGAACAGCTTTATAAAATGAAGGAGGAAATCTTGCAGCAGACTGTCCGGTGCAGCTTGCCTGAGAGGTTCAAGTTTATGACCTTTAGAAATCAGCAGTAACCAGGGACCCTGAACCATAGACTGCTCAGAACCAGGAGGAAGATCTAGGGAAAACAGCTATTCCTGACTTAGAGAAGCAACTTGCAGCTTCCCTGGTAGCGTGCAGACTGGGTGCTTATTGCGTGTCCTTCTACTTCCCGAGGTGTCTTTTGAGAGCAGACACCTGCCCTGGGGGGCGTGGGAGGCCAAAGACTCGCGTGGGCGTACATGAGCCTGAATCCAGCCCTAGCCGACGTCTTGACCACAACCTCGAAAGAGACCGGAGTTAGAACCAGCCATGTGAGCTGTGTCTGAATCCCTGACCCATAGAAAGTGTACGACATGATACGTGTTCACTGTCGTTTTAAACTGCTACATGCTGCTGCGATTTTTTCATGGAGCAACAGGTCACTACTTATGTCAGGGTAGATGAGATCACAGAGACTGAGAAGACGGAAAGGAGTGGGGCGAGGGAGACCATCAGTGGTTCTGGTTGGTATGGACTGTATTTGTGCCATCAGCCAGCCCAGGGAAATGCCGAGTGAGCAGTTAAATGAGGGAGCAATGTGGTAGGCATTTGATACTGTCATCTCTGAGCCTCTGGCCCAGTGGAGATGTGTGTGATAGTCCTTGCTTTTCAGATGAGGTGAGGACAGGGGAAGGCGAAGTCGTGTGTCCAAGGTCACATAGGTAGAAATGCTGGAATCCATGTTGGAGTGGGATGGGTGCTATGGTCACTATCCAGGTGTGGACGGGTAAACCCATGAGCAGAAGACTCTCCCCACTCCTTACCGATGCTTCCTTGGTGTTTGTCTCCTCTGATGCTGACTTGGCAACCTTCTGAATGATGGGAGCGATGTTTGTGGGACCGTAGAGTTGAAGCTTAGGAAGACAGCTCTGGTAGGCTTCCACAACGCCTTGAATCCCTAAGGTGCAATTGGCAAAGATCAACAGCTCCACAGTCCCTTCAAATGCATTTATAATCAAATACACATCAACACGAAGCACTGCACGCTCCCCTATAGGCCTATCAACATAACATTTTCCTTCTTACGCTAAAAAGGAACAGCACATGCTAGTTGCTGCCCCACATTTGGTGAGTCTCGGCTGGGCTGCATGTCACACTGTAACCCTCCCACTGTAAAGGCTCCTATTCAGATGGCTGCTCTTGCCGCCGGTGCCTGTCCACGTCCTCCTTCCCTGCTCGCTCGCTTACCCCTGTCTATTTCGAAGCAGCACTTGGTTCTGGATTTGGCCATAGGAACTTGCAAAGGCCCCCTAAGACGGCTCGCCACAGCCACCACATGCTGCAGACAGCCGTCGGGTATTCTGCGTGAGCAAGGTCCATCCGTCCCGCCTCACGCAGATGCCTCCACTGCACTGACAGCGGCGTTCGCTCTGTTCTGCCCCAATGCCTGTCTTCTCAAGACAGATGGCAAGTCATTACGTAGACCAGTTCTGAAGCCAAGTGAGGTTAAACGGGAATTCTTTATTTTCTATTGACTCGTAGGGTTTTGCCTTGGATTAGCGAGTTTCATTTGCCTTTCGAAAGTATCGGGCAGATGAATTTTGAGAGTGTGAAGCAGGTGAATACAAGGCTATAGGTTTCTGGAAAACCTATCTTCTAGTAAAAGATGGGGGTGGTTGGGGATGGGGAAGTTCACACCGTAATAAACTGTGAGGGAATAATGCCGGGATGGAGACCGGGTCTTAGAGGTTACCGTGTTCAATGAGATTGATACCACAGTCTTGGACACTGAATGCCAAGTCTGTGGAAGAAGGTACTAGATGCTCAACATACCCCAGTGGGTCTAAATTAACTGTAATTCAGCACCTTCCTTGACAAGAAGAGAGACAGAGATATAGACATTTCTGCGTAAAAATGTCTTACGATCATCACAGCAACAAATACATGTACTTGGTTCTATTATTCAGAAAGCAAGAAAAATAATTCTAGAACAAAGTTTATCATCATCATTAT